CAGAAGTAAAAAAAAAAAATATATATATATATATATATCTTTTGAAGGATAATGGTTGTTTTATTTAATTCACCTTCACCATCACTGTTTTTCTTTATTAACATTTAATAACCTTGTTATTAAATATTTTCCCAAATTAATGTTCCTGCCAATTTCCAACGATATTGGAAAAACTAAGACAAGACTCGCAATACTTTTCCAAGGATCTATCTACGATCGGCCACTTCCCTCGGGACTTAACGGCACGCTGCCGGATCACGTGTTAATGCAATTACACCGTACTTACGATAAATTTACAGAAGAAAGTAAGGGGACAAATTGGAAGAGTGGACCGTCGCGGTCGTAAAATACCTCCCCTCCCGCTCCCCCCGCCGGCAATTTTATTCGTTTGTCGATTCGCGATTCGCAAGGCACTTTTTCGCGGCAGTTGCACGGCAATTATGTTAAGTAATGAAACTCGTTTAGCTTTGCCGATAGCCGGAGCGAAAGAATATTTATATTTCTACGGAGAAAACGCGCGCAATTTTTCTCCCCCTCCCCTCCCCGGATCGCCCTCGCTCGGAAGTTTTTTGCCGATAAAATTGATCGTACGTAGCGGACGGAGAATTATCCTGTCGTCGCGGGTACGTTTCCGCGATAACGGGGCCACGCCCACTGTTGCGAGGGAGGAAATGAAAAAGGGGGTTAGCGGGGGACGAGACCGAACACACCGCGGAGGTAAGGGCTGGGGGATGAACGCGCGTCAGGGTGGCGAGAGTTGCCTCGCAATAAAAAAAAACAGACATCGGCGCGACTTTCGATAAGTCCGACGTAAACGTCAGTATTCCTATTCGATACAAAGCAATTTATAAAGATATAATCGTATGACACAGCTACATTTAATTTCGCGATTTCATTTCCTACGAGATTCAATATTGATGATTAACGCGTTGAAAAATTTATTTAATAAAAATTGCAATTTTTATCTAAGAAAAAGTCATTAGAATAATCGCCGTGATAATCCGACGAGCGTAAAGTGGACGAGGTGGAAGTCTTGATCAATCGATAACCTTAACGTCGTATGCACGGACGGGAACATGATAGGAGGAGCACGCAGGTTTATCCGAAGCCCCTACCCCCCCTGCCCCCCCGAAGTGCATCAACGTATATTGAATGTGCATATTACATGCGGCACTCCCGTTGATACGTTGCCGTCCGCGAGGAACAATAAACAAGGCTCGTCCGCGGCGAACCGAACGACCGTCGTAAAGGATGACCTGACGTTAAGGTCCCGCGGCGTTAACGTTTCCCGATGAACTCCCTCCCCCGGGGAAACGGAGTGCACGGGATAGAAATTAAGAGGAAACGGATATATACACCCGTGCTCCGGGAGTGCTCGAGGCCGGGAGTGCTCGAGATAAGGCCGTTGCGGTAGAAGTTCATAAATTATTCGAGCCGGGAGAACCGAAATAACGGTGCGAACGCTAAGGTTAGCGAGGATTATTCTCCCCCCCCCTATCCCCTCCCTCCCGCTCCTCCTCCCAAAGCCGTATTATTTAGCATCGGTATCAACTCCCGTGCCCTCTCAGCTCGCGCTCTCTTTCTCCATCCATCTCGCTGGCGGAGTCCGTTTCTTAACATTCTTCTCGCGAGAAGGTCCTTGTCCTTCGCGCTTGTCCTTGTTTGAAAAGAGCTATGTATAAAGATATTTAAAGAAAAAGAAATAAAATTCTTATCAACGCTAAAATCCAAACGCTGTTTGGTATTATGCCTCCTCCCGGCTGATCGCCGGGATTTAGAAGAGTAACGTGCAAGACAATTATTTCAAGAACAATGGAATCCCGTGCGTGTGGCGCAATTTGCGATTACAATTGAGTTCGGGCGCGCGAATATCCATACAATGCTCGATACGCTTCGCGTGTGCGAGCGTTGTAAGCGTCCCTCGCTCTCCGAAGTCGGATCGGAGAGCACAGGCAAGCGAGCGCGAACGAACTCGAATGAACAACTTGCTTCGCTAAGTGCGAACAGCAATCGCCGGTATAATAATGGCACTGTTTGCGCTCAATCGTTCATATTTGCTCGCGCTCGCTCGCTTGGTCTCGAAGGGTCTTACATGCCGGAAAAAATAACTGGCGAAAAAAAATGATAAAAAAAAAAGAGTTAAAATTGACAATTGCACCAATGCAAAAATCACCAAATCCATCCATAAAATAAAGAGGGGAAAGAGGGAGACGACCCTATCGCGAGGCTATTCGCCTCCGAGTTTTGGTCGAAGGGAGACTACAGAAACGAGAAACTTTCCAAGAGCGATTAATCCTTATTTCAAACAGGTTTTGAACACCTCAGAAAATTTCAACTGAACTCGCTTTCTAAGAAATAAATCCTTGAACTCAGCAGGAGAAGAATCGCCCAAAGCGAGAACTGAAGAAGAATGATAGACAAGCATCCGCGAGTAAAGTCCGATTTGCAGGAAGAAACTCGCGGAATACGAGTTACTGTAATCGAGGATCGAGAAGCACGAATCGCAAGCGACCTCGTCAGAACGTAGAACGTTTGTCGTGTCCCAGTCCCACTGCATAAGCCTCACCCTTTTTTTTTCCTCTACCAAAAGATTGTATCTCGTGTTGTAATGACATACTTGCGGTCTTGTCCCGAGGTGTCGGAGCGAAGCGATAACAATGACGAGGGGGGAGGGGGGGGAGACGAGGTTTTTTTACGGAACGACGCTTTCGTCCGACGAGATGTTAAGCCGCTGATACCGGTATCGTCAGAAGCGGTGAAGCTTGAAATAATTAAATCATGTTCTTATGTGGCCAACGCCGGGCGCGAAGCCAATCAACTTGCGTTTTAAGCCGGTTCTCGGCGCGGCGCGCGGAGAACAAAAGAAAGAAAGAAAGAAGAGCCGCATTCTCATGTATACTTCGCGAGAGGATTCTCACTGATAATCATGGCAATCATACAATATCGGCCAT